CCTACTGTATATATATATATATATATATATATATATATATATGTTTTTTATTTTTCTTGGAACCCAGTTTCTATGCGGCCAAGCCCACATATGTAGAAATGTGGTCCTCTTAATAAATCTATTTTTGAGATGGATTTGAAGACTTAATTTTTAAAGACATGTAATCTCTAACATGGAGATCATGAATATGAAAAATAAATAACTTTTTAAAACTATAAATAATAATTCTAATAAGAAAACATTTGGACCCTTAGCTTTCATTGTTTTTAGATGGAACACCTACTTGCATCCATCTTTAAGATGGATGCTTTACGCTGGATCGCATATGTAGAAATGCGGTCCAACCCGCACGAAACAATTTTCTATTTTATTTTTTCTGAATCTCAGCTTTTCCTTTTTACTTGATTGTACGGAGGAAATATTCATCATGAAATATATATAATTTCCCTTTTTTTCGAAATTTCATCTTCATTGTGAGGAATAGAGGAACATGGAGTACCAATTTGGAATAAGATTTGGTGCTTTCTTGGGCCAAAAGTGGACATTTGGTCTTGCAGTAGCCCATGTTATAAAGTTCTGTTTGATCCCAAAACTCTCTAATCATCTTTGTTCCTAACTAAGACTGGTTTTGTAAGAAAATAATTTTCCTCAAATGCATGAAATGATTATTTCAAGAGAAAATATATATTTTTTGGGTAGTTAATTAAAAAGAAATTGTTGTCATAAAGGCTTTATGAGATTAATTTTTCCAGTAAAAGATAGGTTTGGCACTTCTAGTGCTAAACTTATCTTTTAATTGAAATCCAACGTTTGAAATGCATGACCTATTTTTTTACTTAAAGAAAAACTCATTTTTAATTTCAAAAAAATAGATTTTTCCATTAATTTCCCTTGTCATCCACTTAACGAAAAGAAAAAAAAAACAGATTTTTCTATTAATTTCCCTTGTCATCCACTTAACGAAAAGAAAAAAAAAACAGATTTTTCCATTAATTTCCCTTGTCATCCAGCTACTTAGTAGGATATTATCTCACCAACTAGTCAATGAGACACAAAACCCTTAATTTTTTATTTTTTATTTTTAATAAACGTGAGCCCCTGGGCAAATTCCTCTTTTTATAAATCTTTACCAGATAAAACGTGTAGATAATATTAGCATACACATACTCTGCCATACACAGAGGGATTTCTGCCATCGTCCCTTGATGACGGGCAGCGGATTTGAATCATTGTTCCTTTTGAAGGTCTGCCACCACATGAGGATCATTAACATACAGTAGACAATCATTATGTATATAAAATACGAGCAATGATCTAATGTAACAGTTGTATCATAGTATAATACAACGATACTTTTAAAAAATCATGTTTGTTTTGTATGACTCCAAATTTTGCACACACACTTTCTTCATCTCAATAATCAATCCCCTCAAAAAAAAAGTTCAATTTGAACCTTAGATATAGTCAAAATGAGTCCCCTTCAAAAACGAACCTAGACCATTCATTTTGTAAATTTCAAGATCTTAGTCTTTGTAAACTCAAAATCATTTTTTTTCTTTTTTAATTGTTCTTCTAATGATAATAAAGTCATCCAAAAAAATTGGAATTGAAAAAATCCTTCTAAAGCCTAGATCTAAGCATCTCACCAAAATGAACGGCCTATGTTAATTGAGCTAAAAAATATTTTATAGGTTGTGTTTTCAAATTTTCTTTTTTTTTTGTGATCATTCATTAGAATGAAAAGAGTGTATATTTCAAACTTTTGGATCAAACAAATGACCATAAGATTGTTTTTTAAGGTTGGTGCATCATATTACCATATAACGGTTGCATGAAATCATTGCACTAGGGAAATTTTGTCAAAATGTGCATGAGATATTAACTATTTAACATTTGGAAAAAAAACAAGTTTATATAGAGCCAAGGCTCTAAGCAATCAAATTTGAGCCTACCTCAAAAATTTCACCAGAAGAGATTGTTTTGATGCCCAAATATCCTCAAATTGATCATCTCGATATCAAGATGCATGGACATGAGAAAAAAATAGATTTCAAGTTTTGGAAATAGCGTATTTTGTAATGCATTTTTGGACCGTCAATTTTCTAGAGTTTTAAGTTTTTATAGATCTGTCAACCTACAATATTTTTGAAGCTTTAAACTTTATAAATAAATATGAAAATGTATTTTAAGGCTATGATAAAGATTACCAATGTTGAAACCACATTTCTCGATACTATTTGAAGGTAGGCTCTAATTTGATTGTTTAGAGCCTAGGCTTTATACAAGCCGCACCCCATTTGGGAAAAGTTTATATAAAGCTACGGCTCTAAACAATCAAATTTGAGGCCCACCTCATCCTGATTTAGTTTCCAAATGCCTACCAAAATACACGTGTTTTTTAGTTAGAATAGTAAAAAAAGGTAAATTATTAAGTAATTGTAAAACAATGTATTGTGATAAATTTTGCAAAAATAATCCTTTGCATAGTGTTCCATATGATATCAGGGGACTATCTCAATCTCCTTGTGAAATTAAAGGAAAAAGTTTTTATAAATTGCAACTTTACTGGTACAAGATTATATTAGTATGCACCATTCATTTTATTTGGATGATATAGATTAAGTGATAAATGTGCCGGGCTTAGCCTTGGCGTTGTTCCTATCGGGCTAGATCAGGCCAAACCAAAAAATAACTAAAGAAAAATAAAAGATAAAAAAAAAAAAAACAAAGGCAGTCAAGCTGGTATTGGCTCTAGACCTACTTTGTAAGGGCCGGGTTGGATGGCATATTATTAGCTTTAGTATAAATATAGTATTATTTTATTTTATATTTTTAAAATTATCAAAATCTATATTATCCAACTAAAATAAAGAAAGTGCAGTTTGTATAGAGCCGATGCTCTAAACAATCAAAGTAAAGCGTACCTTTAATTAATGTCGAGAAATGTGGTTTCAATATTGAAAATTTTTGTGATAACCTTAAAATATAGGGTGCGGTTTGTATAGAGCCTAGGCTCTAAACAATCAAATTAGAGCCTACCTTCAAATAGTGTCGAGAAATGTGGTTTTACTACTGGAAATCTTTGTGATAGCTTTAAAATACATTTTTATATTTATTTATAAAGTTCAAATCTTCAAAAAAAAATACGGTAAATCAACATATCTACGAAAATCTTGAAAATTGACCATATGTAAAAATGCATTACAAAATATATTATTTCCAAAACTTGAAATCCATTTTTTTTTCATGTCCATAGATCTTGATGTCGAGATTATCAATTTGAAGATATATAGATATTATCAAAACAACCTCTTCTAATAAACTTTTTGATGTAGGCTTAAATTTGATTGTTTAGAGCCTCGGCTCCATATAAACTTTTCTTTTCACCAATAATATAGATCGATCTATGAAATCATAAAATTCTTAAAAATTGATGATCAAAAAATAAGTTACAAAATGCACTATTTTTTAAAGTTGAAATCTATTTTTTACTCATGACCATGCATCTTGATATCGATATGATATGAGAATATTTCAGCATCAAAACCACCTCTTGTAGCGAAATTATTGAGGTGGGCTCTAATTTGATTGTTTAAAAAACCTACGCTCTGAATAAACTTTTCCCAAAATAAAAAACACAATTTCGATGGTCGTCTTGTGCAATAGATTCGAGCAGTCTCTCTCCCGTTTTTGTGAAATAGCACCCAACTGTCTCTCACTCTCAACCCGTCTAAGGAGTTGCTTCTCTCTCTACTATGCTATCGACTGTCCATTGCATAGGAAGCTCCATTGTTTATGCATTCGCCCCTCCATGGACAAGAAATTCACCTTCACTCTCATGTTTCAGCTTTCCTCCCCGGCAATCTTCTCTGCAACAATCAATATCTCTGCCAGAGAAAACCCAACATGAAGAAGAGCGAGAAAACGCACAAGCAATTAATTTGCCTCAAAAAATGATATGGGTCGATGCGGGTTCAGATATTTCGGAGTCCCAAAAGCTTCTCATGTCCCAATTGCCTGCAAAAATGTCAAAGAGATGCAAAGCCCTGATGAGACATATTATATGCCTTTCTGATGGAGATGATGACCCATCTGGTATGTTGGGTTTGTGGGTTAGAACCATGAATCCCAAGAGAGCTGATTGGCTTGAAATTCTCAGGGAAATAAAAAAATTAAACCATCCTTTGATTTTTGAGGTTAGTAATTCCGGAGATGTTTATATAAATTATCTCTCTCTCTCTCTCTCTCAGTAGTTCCCCAGATTACAGTTCTTGCACATTTGGAAGATAACATGCACTGTTTCTTTTTATTCATCTTCATTTTATGTTCCGATGTGGAAATAGAGATTATGCTTCCAATTCCAAAGATGCAAGTTCTTTTTTTGTTAGTTCTGATCAATGAACATTAATTTGAATGAATGCATCACTAGAACTTGCCAAATTTTCAGTTGGTGTAGTGTTGCTACCCGCAGAAAAAGTGGCCACCAACATTTCAAACAAATTGATTTCTTCTCTGTGGATGGATAATGGATATTTAAAGTGCATTCATCATCAAAGCTCGAGTTCTCATAATGGAGGAAAGGGAGAATTTTTATGATATTAGTGTCTCTGCCTTTAAATGGAAATATTTATTGCTGTGTTGAATCCTGTAAATTCATAAAAAATTGGAGCTAGTTTTACTTAATTTTTATCTTGCATTCACATACTTGTTACTGAACACAGTGTTCTGAGTCTTCTGACTCTTACAAAGAGGATTTGTTTGGAAATAAGCTTAGAGCAAAGGGGGAAGCAATAGATGAGTCACTTCGTTGTCAAATGTATAGGAGGATAGGAGGATCCGGGGGTCCCTTTTATGTTGTAGCCAATGCTGGTGGTGGGACTGTAATTTTCCCATGTCAATTTGGGATCCAAGGCATCGAAGTAAGGTGGAGAATTTGTAGTGAACACATGACTGTGACGCGTATTTGACTAGGAATAGGAGAGCTTGTGCATTGATACTTGAATGACAAAGTGATCCAACCGTAAAATATTTGAAACTCTTTGCAAGTTGTACTCGAGTATCACGGGGATTTTCTTATATATGTGCACTAAATAAAGCTGATGCAATCATGAGTTTGGTTGGTAAAGGATTTGATGCTTTTCGTTAGTTTTTCTCTTGTTATTATGGATAGAATGAGTGGCGTGATGGAAAGTGCATATTTCCGTTGCCTCCCTCTTGCAAGGACTGAGTGTGTGTCAACTAACCTTGTGCAATTGAGGCAGTGTGGGCTAGAGACATTCTCAAATTGGGATATTGAAGTGTCTGATCCCAGATATTATGTTTACTTTATGGTGATAACTATCAGCTATTTAATTGGTATTTTTCTCATGAACTTCATACCATGAGGAACAATGTGATGCTTTCATTAATTTTGATAAGAGTGAGGTTATTGTGATCTATGTTCAACTTAGAAATACAAATGTGACATGAAATCTTTGACTCATGAATCCCACTCAAAGTATTTAGGTCATCATCATCCGAGCCTTATCCCAACAATTTGGGGTCGGCTACTCAAAATATTTGGGTAACAATGTGATGCAGCCCAGGATATTGCTCTCCAGTATCTAGATAAGAGAGACATGCGTAAAGTTTACAAGAGGAACCACAGAAAGGCAAAATAGTAATAGAATATGACATTTTCCGTCTTTTATTTATTTTTTGAGTCATTTTATTTGTTTAGGGGCATAAGTAGTAATTTATAGAGTCTTTTATGTCTTTTTATTAACTTAAAGTATTTTGTAATAAATGGTCATGATTAGATGAAATGGATGGCACAATTAAGTCCTATTTAGGGTTTTCTTATATAACAGATGTACTCAAGCATAATGAAGCATCTTGTTTTGGATTTTATTCAAAACCCTAAAGCAGCAAGTATTCCTTCTTTTATCTATGTTTTTAAATCTTTATCTAATTTTGGATCTTCCCAATCTTCTTCTGTGCTAAACCCTAGCTCCAAGCTACTAGGGGTGCGCCACAATGTTAAATTATGGAGTTTTTATTCTGAATTTTTTTCTTTAATATATGCCCTTCTGACGCTTATTGAAAATAATAATGCCATATTTCTATAAATTCATCTAAATTGCTTGGCATATGATTGTTTACCTGTTGGCTTTAATTGACACGAGTATTTATGCATCCAGTTAAAATAAACATAATAGTGTGGCCAACACACTCTGGGTTTATGAGACTGCCGAAGCACAAGAAACGATAAGGTCTCTCATTGGCTTACCTCTTTTTATTTGACGTCAAAATTAGTGACCCTATTCTTATTCAACATGGAAAAGAATAGCACAATAGATGAGAAATCCCCTTTGTTCCTTTGTAAATGGACATGCTAATTATAGTGGTTATATCAGTTGCACTTCTTGGGATTTCCATGTTTGTTGTGGGCTGAAGTCATCCTGATAAGTGTTTGGTTGATGAATTTTATCCCTCTTTCAGCTGTACATGGTGGCATAACTATTGAAGTTTTTAGCAGAAAACCCTTGATACCCTTGTTTCTGTGGGCTTGTTTACTTCTTTTGTTTCGTTTGCTCCATATATAAGCAATAAATAAACGAAAGGATTGGTTCGAGCTTGTCTAGGTTTATATTTGTAGCTTATACTACACATAAAAAATAATCGTAAGGTCTACCATTCTAGTATATTTTTTCTCATCCGGAGGTGTTGTGGCATTAATTCTCAGGGTATTTTTGTTACTTCTAACATTTTTTTCTCTTGAATATGTACTTAGTTTTCACTAACTCATTTCAATGATCCTCGGAACCGCTCAACCATGTTTTACTAATTTTCTTGTCTTTATGCTATAGCCCTATGATCATTGCCTTGTTCGTCATTTGTCTTCCTCCATTTTATACTTACCTCACCTCAATTATTCAACTTTTGTCCTCTTTTTCCTGTATGGGCTCCTGAGTCTTATCCAACAAATCACCAGTCCCTGTTCCAATTACATAATCAAACTGATTAAAAAGGTCAGCCTCCACTCCTTGATCCGTTCCCTCACTCTTTCCCTGCATTTTTTAATTCATTCTTAGCTCAGACCATTGCATTTTTTAATACATTCTTAGCTCAAACCATCAACTTGTCGAGTGGTTATTTGCTTTGCTGATTGGAAATAAAGTACAAAACAACTGAATCTCTTCACTATAATCATGCATGAGATCTGGTTTCTCGTTTGGTGTGTGATAAGGCCGTCGACTACTGAAAATGCACAAGATTAAGATTAGAGCTGATAGAATGGTACATATAGGGCCTAAGGGTTTTCATAGAGCCACGGGATAAGAGTTGAAGAGACATTTGACTTGATTGCAAAGCTGACCACTTTTCACACCATTGATGCCCCTCAACTATTTATCAAAGTAACAAAATTTCCTGGCATAATATATATACATGTCCAGAAGACTTTGCTAGCATGATAATTACTCAACTATGGCTCTGGAAGTAATTATAATTTTCAATGGCAAATATTTGCTTCTTTTGGTTTTCTTCCCTTCCTTTTGGTTCCTAATCTGCAGAACTGAATACAACTCATGCTTCTTCTGTAGTTTTTCTTGTAGCATTTAATCATCTCCTCCTATGTATTAGGTAATGGAGTTTGCTCTCCTGCAAGAGTCATTTGAAGCTAATATTCGTGACTACACCAAACTAATTGATGGCTATGCAAAGCAAGGGCGAAAACAAGATGCCGAAAATGCCCTGGGAGCATTGAATAGAAGAGGCTTCTCCTGTGACCCTGTCATACTAACCGTACTGATTCACATGTACAGCAAGGCAGGTGACTTCAATCGGGCCCAAGAAACATTTGAAGAGCTTAAGCTTCTAGGTGTACCATTGGACAAAAGAGCTTATGGGTCCATGATCATGGCTTATATCAGGGCTGGTATGCCTGAAAAGGGCGAGTCATTACTCAAAGAAATGGAATCCCAAGATACATATGCACGCAGAGAAGTTTACAAGGCACTTTTGAGGGCTTACTCTAAAATGGGTCATATTGAGGGAGCTCAGAGAGTGTTTGATTCAGTTCAATTCGCAGGGGTTGTACCTGATGTGAGGTTCTGTGCGTTGCTTCTTAATGCTTATGTGGTTGGGGGTCATACCAACGAGGCTCGGATGGTGCTAGAGAATCTCAGAGCCTCTGGTTTAAGCCCAAGTGATAAATGTGTGTCTCTTATGTTGATTGCTTATGAGAAGGAAAATAATCTCAATAAGGCACTGGGCCTACTGCTGGAGCTTGAGAAAGATGGTGTCGAGGTTGGTCCTGAGACCAGATCAGTTTTGGCTAGCTGGTTGGGTAGGTTGGGTTTGAGAGATGAGGTCGAACTTGTGTTGGGGGAACTGGGTAACCTGCAAGCTGTTTGATAATGGGCTCTGAAACCGACGGCTAGGATCTCTGATCATATATTGGTGGTGATGAATGCTCTCTGTGAAGACGGCGAGAGAATGGCGGACCTAATGGCCATTTGGGTACAACAATTGTTGTTTAGAAGTACTGAGGACACTGAGTGAAGGGTAGCTTAGTAAATACACGGTAGACTAGAAGCTGTCTGAGTATGGATTCTTAAACTGAACAGCTTGGACGTATCGATCAATGCTTGGAGCTCCTGATTGTTTTTGTTGAGGAGGGCTAGAGAATAGAAAAACTACTGAAGGAATTGGATGAGGAGTCTTCACTGTCTTGTACGCACGTTTATAAATTGTTTTGTTCTTGACTCTTTCACCAACAGCCTGGATCTATCGATCACTGCTAGCAATTGCTATGTGTTTTCAATGAACCTGGATAGAGAATGGCAGGCATGATGATCATTTCAGAACAGCAAGTCTATACGAGAGAGTGGATCTAATCACGACTTTTACAGATAAGAATTTTGTTTTGAGTGTATTTTCTAAAAGAATTTGTGCCCGTGGTCCACGAAGAAAATGTCAGTCTGGTCATTTCTCCCAGTAAATGAGGTAGATCGGTCCATGATGATCAAAGATTATGGTAAATACTCTGGGTCACCAATTGGACAGTTTAGAGGAGTGGAGGAATTCTTCGTTCTTGTAGGGAAGTGAGTGTGGTGGCAGACACATGCAGAAGAGGTAGTGAACCTAAATGGCTCTTGGGTATGGAGACCTAAGCCCCAGGACTTTTTTGTCTTTTCCAAAATACCAAAACTGTATAGGGGATTATGGAAGGATGCATGCTTGATACAAAGTGCAATATCATTAGTCAGGGGTATTTTAGTAATTTCCTATTATGTGAAGTCAGGGATATTTTAGTAATTTTTATTATGCGCTTAGCGATTTGCAGTATCATTGGGCATTGTTATTTTAGTAGTTTTTCTGTTACACGCTTAGCAAGTAATGCCATCTTTGTTTTACTTTGTTGCATGGAATTGTTTTCTTTTTCTTTTTTTGGTAGTCCAAGAATCCCCCAACTTGCAATTTTTAAATCTTTTAAAAAATGGTCCTGAGTTTCGCCCCTTTTTAGGTGGAAAAATTATAGAAAGGTACAAATTTTGTTTTTAGTATAAAGAAGTCACAATCACTTTTATCCGTCAAATTTTAAATCTGCGTAGTTATAAATGGGTTATTGTCTAAGCTCAAAGTTCAACAAAATGTTTCTCAAACTTTGTAACACATTTCAAACTATCTAATATGACATATAATGGTTAGAAGTAATTGTGATGACCTTGCAACAAAAATAAATTGTTTTATCGTATACAATCATTCTAAGAGTTTGTTATTCTACCCCTTTCATTATTTTGGATTGCAACCAATGTTAAAAAAAAACTTCAATGGAATTCGTGTTTTGTGGTTGGATGAACTGGGTTTTCCCTTAGTGTTGTCAATACCAATCATCATCATCTAAGCATTAAGCATTATTCTAATTATTTGAGATCGGACAAGACCTGCCTGAGACTATGTTATACAATTATTGTTACTGATGTGTCACTGGCTCAATTGATACGGATCCCGATTAGGCTATTCCCAACCAATGCAATGGAGGGATCCACCCCGACAGCCCGAGCTTTAAAACACTACCCGCAAAAAATAAGGAATGAAAAAATATATAGAAAAAGAAAATTTTGACCTATGCTATACCCTTTTTCTTCCTTCATTTTATTGGAATTCCCACCATAAACATTCGGGCAATACTGAAGAACGTATGGATAGAACATTTTCGATTATATCCTCCCTCCGGATCAAAATTGCATTTGCATCTTAGAAGAAAACCCATTATAAACCTAATTAGAAGTAGATGGGAAGCGGTTTCTATTAGACCTTACGAAAAAAGTAAAGCTTCACCTCAAAACCTCATCTAGAATTAGACCTTACAAAAAAAAAAAAGTAAAGACTTCATCTCAAAACCTCATCTAGAATTAGACCTTACGAAAAAAAAAGAAGTAAAGCTTCACCTCAAAACCTCATCTAGAAGCACTTTCAAGCATTGGAAAACCTTATGATGGCTCTAAAATGTATTTTCACCCTTGACAATGAAATTCGTAACTAAAATAGTATAAATCTCATAGATCTATGAATATTTGAAAATGGATTGTCTAAATAATGTGTTTCAATATTACACTATGAATATTTGAAAATGGATTGTCTAAATAATATGTTTCAATATTACACTATTTAAAGCTAGAAATCTTTATTTCTCTTCACATCCATAATAGCCAATGTCAAAATAAACAATTGAAGGTTTTTTTTTTTAACATTTAATCAAATTGAAGGTTAATCCTCTCTTGGGTCACCGGCGGAAACCCAATTCAGCAAGAATCTAATGATTTTCCGGCAACTTTTTTTGAAGCCATTGATGAGTTGCAAGTAATTATCAAGAAATAGACTCCAATGGTTTCATAGCAAATCATTTGCTTCTCTTTTAGACATGGCTTGAACCTTAACGCAACAGGACGTGTTTAGGAGGCCTTTTGCAAGGGATTTGATGGCGACGATGATGAGAGAGTTGATGGCACTTTGGAGGAGGAGAGGAACTGAAGATATTGACATTATCGGAACAGAAGTTGGACGAGAGAAACTGCTGGATGAGAGATGATGTTTCACTTTGAAGGAGGGGCAACGCTGTGTTTTGTGTGTGTGTGTGTGTGAGAGAGAGACCCGTGAAGTGATGGATATAGAATGCCCTTCATACAATTTTTTGCATCCTCGAAATTTCAAGCCATAGCTTAATTTTTTGGGATTCAGACATAAGACAAATCATTTTGATTTAATCCTATCAAAACATGGTCTGCCAGCTTCTATAATTAAAATTATATTACTTTCTATGATACAAATATCGGTATATGAGAGTGTCACAAATCATACCCTTACTCGTGTAATGATTCCAAACAGAAATTCCAGGAAATTAGTTTCACGCCGGTTGGACCACATTTCTACAATACATGGTCCAGAGGTATAACGCATCCATCTTAAAAATAGATGCAAATAAGTAGTCCATCTAAAAACAAGTGTAATTAACTTTCAAAATGTTTTCTTAATATGTTATTA